CTGTGCCAAAGTATCTCCTGTCTTCAGCAATAGGATCTTACCTTCAAGCTCTGGGAGGCAATCAAGGACTGTGGCAAGAGCCTGTGTAATTTTGGGAGTCTCTTGAACTACCCTGGCCAACAACTCAAAGGAAGGTTTCTCCTGTCTGGCACTCTTTCTTGTTATGTAGACTTTAGATATACATAAGGATTCACATAGAGATAGTGTATGTATAATTTTTCAGAAGGTTTTTGGACTAATACAACTCCGTCTGGTTTTTTGTATTAGCTAGGCACTATTCATCTCTCCTCTTTCTCTCCCTGTCTTATCCTCCCTCCCTACCCTCCCCATTTAAAGTGTCCCCATTTTTTCCCTATTTCTCCTTGATAATTTTTGTCTGCTATAGTCCCACCTCTCTTGAGTTCCTTCTTGCCCTTTATTTACATATTTCCTTGTATAGCCCTCCTTGTCCCCCTCTCAGTTAACTAACCCCCCCTTTACACATTTCTCCCTTAGCAACACCTGTCTCTTACTATTCTTCTCTCTCGGGTTCCTTCTTTACCTTTACCTCCCTGGTTCCCTTCCATTTTCCTGGTTCCTGTAGTCACACTAGGATATGTACTCACTTATAAGGAGTTAGAGCTGGGATCCACATATGAGGGAGAACATATGCCTTTTGTTTTTCTGAGTCTGTGTTACTTCACTTAGTATAACAGTTTCTAGATCCATCCATTACCTGCAAATTTCATTATTTCATCTTTTTTACTGCAGAGTAGGACTCCATTGTGTAAATGTACCACATTTTCATTAACCACTCATCAGTTGAGGGGCACTTAGGTTGTTTCCATCTCTTAGCTATTGTGAAAAGAGCAACAAGCATGGTTGTACAAGCATCTGTGCAATAGGATGAGTCCTTTAGGTATATGCCAAGGAGTTTATTTTTGTGTGTATGAGTGCATCTGCATGTATGTATGTGTACCCATGTGTGCAGTGCCTGTGGAGGCCAGAAGAGGGTGTTGAATCCCCTGGAACTGGAGTTATAGATGGTTGTTAGCAGCCACGTGGGTGCTGGGAACCAAACCCAGGTCCTGGAAGAACAAATAGTGCTCTTAGCCACTGAGCAATCTCCAGACCTAGACCAGCTAATTTTGCAAAATAAGTGAAGCCCATGTTTAGTGAAAGACCTTGCCTCAAAATACTAGGTAGATTACTGATGAGAAGGCTTAGTGGGTAAGAGTGCTTACTGTGCAGGGCTGATGACCTGAGTTTGAACCCTGGGACCTATGTAAAGGTGGAAAGAGAGAATTGATTCCACAAACTAGTCCTCTGACTTTTACACATACATACACCATGGCCTGCACACACCCACATCACACACATATAGTAATTTAAAAAACAAAATGGCCAGTGAGATGGCTCAACTGGGGCAATTGCATTTGAGGTGCAAATTTGATGACCTGAGTTCAATCTCCTGATTCCACTGTAGAAGAAGAGAATTGATTATCAAAAGTTATTGTCTGATTTTAAACATACACCATCATACACACACGATAATAATAAATGATAAATAAAATAAATAAAAATTTAAAAATTAGGTGAACCTCACCTCAATACGTGTCCATACATGTACATATGTACATATATAAACATGCACACATGCACAAACACCATACACGTGCATATACCACATACATACACATACAAAAAAGTGTATTTTTCAATCTTCAAGTATTTCTGTATTTCTGGGAAGTTAGTTTTGCTGTTTGTTTCTAGTTTTATTATCCTGTCATCTGACAGCATGCAGGGAATTATTTCAATTTGTTTTTATTCATTCAATTTGTTTGTTCATTCATTCCTTCACTCTCACACATACATTATATACACACTAATAATTTTTTTTTAAGTTAAAAAATTTTCTTCTGGAAACAAAGTTGTAAGATAGATTTATGAGGTGTATTGTTTAGATTTAGAAAAAAGGGGAGTGCTAGAAACTCAAGGCTATACATCATTTTAGTCCAAAATAAGCATACTTTACCTGCTGTGCTTATTTATGTCTTTTGGAAAACATGTATTTTTCCATGGGCAGTTTGGACTTTGTCAGTAAATATCTGAAATTTCCTGCCTTTCTCAGGAGAAAAAGCAGGTTAGGTCCCAGGATCAGAGCCTCCTCCCTCTCCCTCACTTTTCCTGTGTTCAGAACCAATGCAGCTCCACACTACACCAGCAACATACTGAGGAGCCCGTTTCAAACATGTCCACCCAGCAAAATCAAGGTCCAAGGCTTTGATGAAGAATGGAATTTCAGAGTGAATCAAATATGGAGTAAAGCAGGATTCATTAAAAATAAAATGGTGCTTTAAGAGAAAACCAGTAAGGCACACCTGGTAGGGTAAATGTGGGCTTCCCTAAGAGAAAGCTTGCAATTAGATTTCTTCCTTTTTTCTTTTTCTTTAGTCTTTTTGAGACAGGGTCTCCCTGTAGCTTCAACTGGCCTGGAACTCACTATGTAGACCAGGCTGGCCTCAGTCTCATAGAGATCCACCTAATTCTGCCTCCCAAGTGCTGGGATTAAAGGTGTGTGCCACCAAACCCTGCTGCAGTTAGGTTTATTTACCATGGACATGTTTGGGATTTGGTTGGCTCTCAAGTTAAGTCTCTAAAGGTTGTTAAGAAACAGCCACATTCTTTCTACCCTTATCTAAAGAGTATTATTTTGTAGCCAGGTTAAAAGTTAAAGAATTTGGGGCTGGAGAGATGGTTCAGCAATTAAGAGTACTGGCTGCTCTTGCAGAGGATCTGGGTTTGATTCCCAGCACCCACACATGGCAAGTAACAACCATCTGTAACTTCAGTTCCAGAGGACTCTGATGCCCTTTTCTGACCTTTGTGGGCAATTACAAGACACAGATGCACTTATATACATGCAGGCAATATACTCATACACGTAAAATTAAAAATAAATAAATAAATAAATAATAAATAAAATATACTCAGGAGGCAGAGGCAGATGGATCCCTGTGAGTTCAAGGCCAGCCTGGTCCAGAAAGAGTTTGTCTGGAGTGAAGGAGATCTTCTATTTTGTCTCTTGGTGTTACCATATCCTGTGATTAAGGTCAATGGGAAATTGCAACAACCCGATTCAGGCAAGATAATAACTGGCCCAGACTCTTAAGTGATGTGTGTGTCACTCCTCCAAATAGAACCAAAACTTGCTGAAGTGCTTACTGAGGGTGTGGGACTGCAAAGTGGATCATATACATTTGCTGGAAATGCATGGTAAATCTACTTGGCCAGTTACAGAAACAAACATTGTAATTACCATGAGTCTCTCTGTCCCATTTCGCTAAGAATATGTTTGTGCCTTGTTGTGTGTATTATATACACATATAAAGCAGATGTTTGTGTTTTCTTTCCTTTGTTCCTTTGCCATGTATATAATATTGATTGAAATAATACCACTTAGAGCTGGGTGTGTGCCACCACACCTGGTCTAAGTCCCAGAAGTTTTAATTTTTTAAAAAATGTGTTGTGCTGAGTGTGATGGCACATGCCTTTAATTCCAGCACTCGGGTGGCATAGGCAGGTAGATCTCTCTGGGTTCAAGGTTAGCCTGGTATACATAATGAGTTCCAGGACAACTGGGACTACAGGGAGACCCTGTCACACACACACACACACACACACACAAACTCCACCACCAACAACAAAAAAACTTCAGGGGTTGGAGATGGCTCAGCGGTTAAGATCACTGATTGCTCTTGCAGAGAACCTGGGTTCAATTCTCAGCACCCACATGGCAGCTAACAACTGTCCATAACTTCAGTTCCAGGGGATCCAAAGCCCTCCAAGAGCATTGAATGATACAGGTACATTTACATACATGCAGGCAATACATTCATACATATAAAATAAAAATAAAATAAATTAAAAAAATAAAACTTCTGGGGCTGGAGAGATGGCTCAGTGGTTAAGAATACTGGCTGATCTTGCAGAAGACTCAGGTTTGGTTCCCAGCACCCCCATGTGACTAAAAACCATCCATAACTACAGTTCCAGGGGATCTGAAGCCCTCTTCTGGCCTCCGCAGGCATTGCATGACATAGGTGCACTTACATACATGCAGGCAAAACATAAAAATAGATTAATTAAACCTAAATTTCTAAAAACAAAAATCAGAAAATTTCTCAGAAATCAATAACAAAGCATACAGTTGAAGAGGAAATAATACCACTTAGTTAAATTTTATAAATCTATATTATCATATTTAAGTTATGGGATGCTAAAAGACCAAACATTCCTCAAGGTGCTTTGCCATTCATTCTGGGGAAAAGAACAGTGTGGCTTAAGTTGTACACTGGAAATACTTATGCTAGACTGAATTTTTTGTTTGTTTGTTTTTTGGAGACAGGGTCTCCCTATATCCCCAGCTGGTCTAGAACTTGCTACATAGACCAGGCTGGCCTCAGTCTCACAGAGATCCATTTGCCTCTGCCTCCCAAGTGCTGAAATTAAAGATGTGTGCCGCCATACCCCACCCCAGACAATTATTTTTAATAATATTTTTATTCTTTGAAATTTCCATACATGTATATAATGTATTTTTCTTCACTTGCCCTCCTCCACTTCCCATCAAGTCCCCCTGGGACCAACCAACCTGTCTCCCTCGTGACTTCATATCATCTTATTACTGTTAATAGCCCCCTGAGGTGAATTAGTCCTGACCATATGTGAATGGGTATGGGGCTATCCACTAGGGCATGGGTAACCTAAGAGCAGCCATATCCCCAAAGAAAATGGTCTTTCCCTCCTTCAGCAACAATCAATTGCCAGTAGCTCCTAAGATAAGGAAGGGGCCTAAGGAGCTCTTCCCTCATCCATACTGGAATGTTGAGTGGCTTGATTTTGTGCAGTTCTTGTATAGGCAACCAAAGCTGCTGTGAGCTGCTGTGTTCATCAGCTATGTCATGTCCAGAACACAGCATTTCACAGCTCTTACATTCTTTCTACCCTCTCTTCCTCAGTGTTCCCTGAGCCGTTGATATGGATGACCCATCTGTGGTTATGCACTCAGCAGTCACTTATCCTCAGCACTTTGACCAGCTACATTAACCACTATCTACTGCAAAAAGAAGCTTTTCTGACCAAGGTTGAGAGCAGCACTAATTTATGGATATAAACATTGCTAAGAAGGTAGTTTGACAACACGACCATTTAACAAAACAAAACAAGTAGGTTCCTACTGCAGCCTATGATCTCCCCAGTCATTGTCTTCTCCCCAGTCATCATCTTTGATCAGGTTTACTGTACCAGGCATGAAATCCCATCCCTCCTGTAGAGCAGACCTCAAGTTCAATCAGAAAGTGGTTGGATACCCCCATAAATATCATGCCACTATTGTAGGATCTAGTGCTGGATAAGACCACTGTGATGTCTTTTCTCTTACAGCAACTTCATAGCACCTTTTAGAATTGTGGGATGACTTTTGTGGAAATGCCTTCAATTATTCTTATGCTTTGAGATCATTTAACAGTATCTCGGCTTTTTCACAGTGTAAATCTTAATAGACCTTGGGCTCCTCTTGTATAATAAACATGTAGCTTTAATCCCTCATGACCCTACCTTGCCCCTAACTCAGTATGTTGTGAAAATATCAATGCTGAAAGCAGCAACTATTCACTAGAATCAAGGAATTATCCTTTTTATGTTACAAACAACAGGTAGGAATATATTGATTATATCTGTTTGTGGTTGTGTATGCTGTTCTGGGTCAGTAGGGGACAGAAAGGAAAAATTCTTCCCTGATAAGTTCCACTTTTCCTTTCCCACTTACTGCTAGACATAGTCTTCCAATAAACAGAAAGCAAGTCCTTTGTTTAGGGAAACAATTCAAGGAGAACATAAAAGAAACAAATTCTCATAATGATTCAGGCTCCTGGTTTTAACCAATGCCAAAGTGTCAGGGTATTTTTGTTCAGGTATCACTGTAATGTGGAATCTCTCTGCTGCATTGTGGTGCAGTGTGTGAGGAAGAGACTCTATTCTGAACTCAGATCAGTGCCCAAAAAAGTCCTGAAGAAAAAGGGAATTAAAGGATGTCCCCACTCATACACTGTAAGTTGTATGACAATAAGCACAGGCATTCCTTGAGAATTTCTGCTGGTATGCAAGGAACAAGTTCTAAACTTTTATTTTCACCTTTCTGCTTTCATTATGGGGATCACTTTGTCTCCTGAATATTGTGTACATGCATGGAAATTAATGACTTTGCTTAAAGGAATTGCAGCTAATGCATTATCAAAGCAAACTTATGAACTTTTAAATATTATTCAGAAATATTGTCATGGTATCCCAAAATAGGACAATTGATAAAGAATCATGGGAGAAAATTAGTAAGTGATGAAGATGCTGCTTAAAAATGATTCAATTGAAGAATTGTGGAACCAAATTAAACTAGGTATACAGCCTTATTAAAAGAAGAAAAGGGAAACTTCCGGAAAAAAAAATCTTTTTTTAACTTTAAAAGAAATTTATTGAGAATTTCATACATGCATCAAATCCCCACCCACTCCCTCCCCTCCAACTCCTCCAATATCTCTCCATCACTTTTTCCTGAACAACTTCGTACTCTTTCCTTTTTTATGATTGTTTAACATGTTAATAAAGCATCCATGTAATTTTTTAAAAATTATTTATTTCATAACTGCATGATTAGAAGAAGCACTTCATTACAGCATTAACATATTCAATAACAATTTCGAGAGCAAAGATGCATCTCTTTCAAAATTCGTTGTAAATTTTTAGGTTCACAGTTGAATTAATACAGGTTATACAATATTCAACTCAGTATAAACCCTATAAGACATAACATTGAATGAGATTGTAACCTTTAAAAAGATCTCCATTTAATTTTAAAATATACTGTTTCATACAGAAAAACTCATTTTTAATGCTACTAACATTTAGATATTTGCACATACATCTCTAATCTCTATGTATCTGATTTTTTACCTAATAATATTGAAAGAATTTATTTTTTCTTTCTTTTTTTCTACCTGCATATTCTTTTGTTATATCTTTTTTAAAATTTTAAAAAAATTTAATAACCACATGATTAGAAGAAGCATAAAATTGAATGAGTTTTTACCCTTTAAAGATCTGCAATTCATTTTAAGATATGCTGTTTCCTACATTTTTAATGCTACTAACACATGTTTGCACATGTGTCTTTAATCTCTATGTATCTGATTATTACTAGTCAGTCAGTTACACTTGAATCCTTAGTACCTGAGTATGAATATAAAGTCATCAGGTACATTTCACTGGTAATGTTTATCACCTCTACTATTTAACATGAAGTAAATTAAAAAAAAATTTTTTTAAATAACTGCATGACTAGAAGAAGCATTTCATTATAGCTTTAACATACTCAGTAACACACTCCAGAGCAAGAGTACATCTCTTTCACAAGTGGCTGTAAGTTTCTGGTTCACAGTTGAACTAACACAGTTATACAATGTTGAACTCAGTGTGAGCCCTGTAAGACATAAAATTGAATGAGTTTTTAACCTTAAAAAAAGATCTCCATTTCATTTTAGAATATACAGTTCTTTGCAGAAAGACTCATTGTTTTTGCTACTAACACTGAGATGTTGGTGCATGCACCTCTAATCTGTATGTATCTGATTATTACTAGTCATAATAAGTTGCACTTGGATCCTTGGCACCTGTGTATGTCATTGGGTAGATTTCAATGGTAATGTTTATCACCTCTACTAATTAACATGACATAAATTTCCATGTTTCCTCCTCAAATATAATACATTTTTAAAAATTTGTTGATTTTATTTGTGTGTGTTTGTATCACACAGAACATCCCAAGCCATCTTATTTGACTATACACCCACTTCCCAGATGGCACCCTCCCATAGCCTCCCACCCCCCCACTAGAGCCCTTATACTCTGATATCCCTGCTACTGTCTGCTGTGTTGTTGGCACCCCAGCAATTCCCCACTACTTGTCCATCTGGTGAATCTAGTCAGCATATCTAGAGTGTGGGGATCTAAAAGCCCCACCTTGCATAGGTCCGAAAGGAAGTTACTGGGGGCATGGCCTGGCTTGCTTTGAAAGTCTGAAGAATACTTCCGCATTGCCGAGGAGTGTATGATCAGTGCGTGACCATCCTTAAGATACACCCTCGGGGGGGAGGGGGGAGTTCCAGGTGCCTTTATAAGCTTTGGAACACTTGCAATAAATGAGTCCCTGCTTGACTAGGCTCCCCGTTGCATCTGAGTGTCCCCAGGTAATGGGGGCAGCGTGGGCTGGTGAACAGCGTGCTTACTCATCCCAATTCTCACCTCGCCAGGGGTTGCAGGTTCGAGTCTCCGGCAACTGGCGCTCAACGTGGCGCTCGAAGGAAGGCGAAAAGAAGAAAAGAAAGAAGTAAGAAGAAAAACAGATTGGGGCCAATCGAGGAGGTTCGGGGTAAGCAACACCCTAAAAATGGGTAACACAATTTTTAAGTTTGAAGACCCAGTGCTTAAAGCACTGGGAGATATGCTTAAAAGCAGGGGATTGGATTTGTCAGATCCCATAGCTCAAAAGGTTTGGGCAGAG